AACTCGCACGAACCACGTCTGGAGTACTGCCACGATTATCTACAAGATCGCGCGAACACTCACCCAGGGAGCGCAGCGCCGCGCACCTCTCCTCCGTGGTCTTGCGACCGCAATGCTTGCGGGTGCGAACAATGAAACGAGCGCTAGAACCAGCTCCCGAGCAACTCTAACAACCGCGAGCACATGGGCGAGGCATCGGGGGATCCGGAGGTTTCCTGTTCAAGCCGGACGATAATCGGAAACTTTCGGCCCCGAAACACCGACAAACTGTCCGTCTTCCTTCCGAGTAAAGTTGCGACCGACCCATCCTAAGAACAGAACCAGGTCCTCGCTTGGTTCCTTCACTTTGCGACCCCAATCCACGCAATCTGGAGCGCCCCCGAGAACACGACCATAACTTTGCCGCGCTGACCCGAAGCAAACGCTGCATCCTGACCAGGCACAGAGATAGGATCCGACACAGATCCCCCCTCCTCAGACTCCCCATCAGAAACACTAGCCACACAGTAAGACTCGGTCGAGCGAACAGCCACGAACCCAAGAACACCCCCCTCAGCCACTGCAGAGGTCTGAAGACTCTTCCCCCGAAGCTCTGGAGGCCCCTGAAACGGAGTGGCTTCGGTCATCCCCATGCAACTTTCACAGACATGATGCTCAACGTGGTTGTGCTGCAAGCAAGCTACACTGACCGCCACAATTCACCCCCTCATGCACACATGCCCTGTGACACATGATGCGAGAAAAGAAAGAAGAACAGAAACGAGAAACACCGGAATCCACCCCCATCGACTCCTCCTTGTTCCTACTGATACGACGAGGGATTGATGGTGGTGCAGCAACAGAACTGACAGATGTGAACTTTCGTTCGTCGTTGTCCTCGCGCAACTGGACATGGCGCTCGCCAGTGTCTCCAGCGTGCGCCACCATTGCCGCCCTGGGCTTGCCCTTGCATTCAGGGCCCCCGGACCAGTGGCCCGTTTCGCGGCAGGTCTCGCATGTCGAGCGTCTCTTGATCTCCTGGAGCCGCTTCTTGCGATCTCCCAGGAAAGGCCCTCCCCTGCCGCCTCCCCTGGGCGACCAGGGCGCGCAGCGGCAATCTTGCCCCCGCTCTTTCCGCTGCCTTTGCTCCTCCCTTGGGCGCCAAGGTTGGCTACCAGGTCCCCTTGGATCGCGTCAGAAGCTTCTTCCTCTGCAGATCCAGCCCTGACCATCTCGTCGACCACCTCGACGTCGAACTCGCTGCTATCCTGGACAGGAGCCCAGTGAGCATACGATTCCACGTCAACGCAGGTGCGTTCGACTGCGTAGTCACCCCAGGCCGTGTCGTCCCAGCCGAGCTCTGGCGCGCAGCCGGACGCGTAATATCCGCGGGGGCTCAGCTCCTCAGGGCAACGCTCCCCCTGCTCGCACCATCCTTCATCAGCAGTGCAGAAGGGGCGTCGCGGCCTGGAGAAGCGCACTTTGCCCTTGCCCTTGCTCCTGTTCTGGTAGCTGGGTCTGGGCTGTGCCCACGCTGAAGAGCTGGAGCCTCCACCAGACTCACCCTTGCCTTTTGGCGGATGCGTACGCGGCCGTGCTGAAGGATCAAGACATCCTTGATCCTGCCGAAGGTTGCCACACGTCCCGTGGATATCAACATCATCAGGTTCTCCGAAAGCGAGAGGCCTGCATGGTCCAAGAAGCGGACACAAGCACATCGTCACTCATCAAGATCTTAGGATCTAACTTGGAGACAAATTTCCACCAACGCTACATTCGAGAGATGTACGAGACCATAGACTCACCGTGCCGTCCTGACACTGGTCCATATGGTCTCTGCCCCACCTGGAACAGGATCTTCGCTTCCTGGGCCTCCATGGGGAAGAGTGTAGTACGAATCGTCAGCACCTGCTGAGCGATCCCATTCGGAGTCAGAAGCACGTCCTTACCGATACCCAAGGCAAGATCGAATGCGTCACCTCTGAGGCCTTCTACAACCTTGTTGACAGCTGCGGTGATCACGCGTTGCTGCGGCGCGCCCGCCTCTTAATCCACTGAGGCCAAGGCGGCACTCATGCGCATCTCTGTGCGGAATTCCCACTCGTGGAAGTTGTTCACCGTGCCGTCGTAGATGAAGGAGCCACTCTTCGTCTCGGACCGCGTCAGCACCGCGTCGGCGCTCGGCCGATAGCGAAGAGAAGAAAGTGCCATGGCGCAGAGCTCAGTCCCCTAGCGAGGGGAGCCGCAAGTACGGAAAGTAAAGAGAGGCTGTGCTACACTCTCTGACGAGACGTGCGCGCAGTGGTACGATACGGGGATCATGTGGCAGCTCCGCTGCCAGTGTGATTATGATGCGTTTTAGCGCAATGGCAAAAGGGGGGCCCTAGGGGTCAAACGGCGGCGGGTGGCGGCGAGTGGTGCGTATACAAACGTCTTGCATGCACGATCTCAGTGTCATCGTCATCATCATCAGCAGCAGCATCGTCGTCGGCATCATCATCCTCATCATCCTCACAATCCTCATCCTCATGCTCGTCTTCATCCTCATCCTCCTCCACATCATCATCCTCAACCTCATCCTCCTCATCATCAACCTCATCCTCATCCTCCTCCTCATCATCATTGTGGTCGTCGGCATCAGCATCACAATCAGCATCATCATCATCATCTTCATCATCACCATCATCATCGTCGTCGCCGTCATCATAAACGTAAGCAACGCAATTTGCAACATTAACATCACAACCATCATGATGAACCACATCAGCAAATCACTATCACCATGGCCTTCACCATCACCATCACCATCGCATCACCACGACCACCATCATGAGCAGCAGCATCAGGATCAGCATCAGCAAAATCATCAGCAACTGCATGAGTATCAACATCGTCAGCATGCTCATCATCATCGGCATCATCATCATCAACATCAGCATCAGCAGCATCAGCATCATCAGCGTCATCGCCATCGACATCAGCATCAGCATCATCGTCATCATCGGCAGCATCACTAACATCGTCATCATCATCATCATCATCATCATCATCATCAGCATCAGCATCATCATCATCATCATCATCATCATCATCATCATCATCATCAATCAATCAATCAATCAATCAATCAATCAATCAATCAATCAATCATCATCATCATCATCATCATCATCATCATCATCCGAACCATCATCATCATCATCATCATCATCATCATCATCATCATCATCACCATCGTCGTCATCGTCATCGTCATCGTCATCAACATCATCATCAGTATCAGCATCACCATCATGAGCAGTATCGTCAGCATCATCATCTTCATCATCGTCATCACACTCATCAACGCCATTGTCATCGGCATCATCGTCATCAGCAGCATCATCATCGCATTCAACAGCATTAGCACCGTCGCCATCAGCGGCATCGTCATCGTAATCGTCATCGTCACCGTCACCATCATCAGCATCATCATCAGCACATCAGCATCAGCATCAGCATCATCAGCAGCTGCAGCATCGTCAGCATCATCATCACTACCACCACCAGCATCGTCATCAGCACCATCATCGCCGGTATCAGCATCAGCATCAGCATCAACATCAGCATCAGCATCATCCTCATCAGCATCATCAGTATAATCATCATCATCATCATCATCATCATCAGCATCATCATCATCATCATCATCATCATCATCGTCATCATCATCATCATCAGCAGCAGCAGCATCATCATCATCATCATCATCATCATCATCATCATCATAAGCAGCATCAGCATCATCATCAGCATCCGCATCACCATCAGCATCATCAGCAGCATCATCATCAGCATCATCTTCATCAGCATCATCTTCATCAGCATCATCATCGGCATCGTCGTCGGCATCATCGTCATCATCGTCATCACCATCATCACCATCATCACAAGGAAGCGAGGTATGAGCTGGATCTGCGCAGGACACCGCGCCGTTGGATCTCACAGGGGCTGCTGAAAGTGGCGGCAGCTGCGCGGGTGACAGCGCCCAGGGGGACGAGGTTTCTAGGATCTGCGTAGGAAACCACTCCGCTAGACCTCCCAAAGCCTCACGAAAGTGGCGGCGGCTGCGCGAGTATCATCGCCCATCTGGGCGAAGTTTCATCATTTGCTCTGCGTGGCACACCACTGCGCTGGCCCAGGGGCTCATGAAGATGGCGACAGGTGCGAGGTTGTCAGCGCCCAGAGAGGCGAGGTCCCCTTTAGATCTTCAGAAGGCACGACTCCGCTGGGTCTCCTAAGGGGCTCGCGAACAGAGCGACAGTTGCGCAGCTGGCAGCGCCCAGGGAGGTGAGGTCTGGTTTGGATCTGCGGGGGATACCACCCCGCTGGACCTCCCAGAGGCTCGCGAAAATAGCAACAGCTGCGCAGCTGGCAACGCCGAGGGAGAGGACATGAAGTAGCGAAGAGGAAGCGACGAGGAAACGAGGAGGCGGCGAGAGAGAGAGGGGGGCGGGGGGCGGCAGGATAGTGGAAGGAAGGAGGCAGGCAGAAGTAAGGGGGGAGAGGAGGAGCAGCAGCACTCTATTCTAGACGAATATCCAGCCACAGGATGGTTGGCAAAAACGATTTGGCAATTCAGAGTTGCCTCGATCGTGGTAGCTTAAGCAAGGCATGCGTTCGCCCTGAGTGGCACGTAGCAAATGCCGTCCAGCGGTCCACGTCGAACTACGTGCACATGTTCTCTCTGCGCGCTCCAGGCACAGACTTGCGGAGCTCAACAGCCATCAGAAGCAGGAGGAGGATCAGCAGCAGGACAATGGAGGAGGGAGGAGAAGAGGGGAGCAGGGAGGAGGGAGGGAGGGGGGAGGAACGGGGGAGGGAAGGGGGAGCGACGGAAGGGGGGAGGCAGGGAAGGAAGGGGGAGGCAGGGAGGGAGGGAGGAACAGAGAGACACAAAGAGAGGGAAAAGGGAGCGAAAAAAGGCGCAGCAGCAGCAGGAGCACAAGCAGGAAAAAAGAAACCGAGTAGGGCGTGCGCGCCTGCATCAACACGCGCTCAAGCCGCGCCAGCTGCTGCGGAGAGGTCTGCCGCGTGAGGAAGGCGCGCACGGCGTCGGTGGGCCTGCTCTCGACGTCGTCGTCGTTGTCATGAGCCTCACCAACTCAGCATCGTCGTCATCACCACCATCATCATTATCATCCCCACTGCCATCAGCAGCAACATCATCAGCAGCAGCAGCGTCAGCATCAGCATAATCATTCTCAGTATCAATCCTGCCTCCTCCCTACTTCCTTCCCTACTCCTTATGAATACCTTCTCCCTGCCGCACCCAGGGACGTGTCTGCAGGGCGGGCCGGGCGTGTCGCCTGAGACTTCCTCACCACGTATGACGCTTCAGCAACATGCAACAACTTCACGGATGGAGGGCGAGCCGCTTTCAAATGTGGCTCTCGCCTGAGCGCCGCGAAATGTGGCTCTCGCCTGAACGCCGCGCAAAGTCGCATGAAAAGCGTGCAATAGTTGAGCGGATGGAGAGCGGCTCATGTTCGAAATGCTGTTTTCGCCTTAGCGCCGCGCACATACAGTTTCGAGGATGGTGATGGCTGACGTCCCAGAATTGGTGCTTTGGCACGATGCAGCACTGTCAGGGCGCAACAATCACGTTGATTGACGATGTTGAAATTCCAGGGACGGTGTCCTGGCACGATTCAGGACCGTCAGAACGCAACGGTAACGTGGATTCGCAGCGTTGAAGTCTCAGGATTGGTGTTCTGGCACGGTGCATGTCTTTCAGTCGATTGTCTTCCACCGTAGCACTTCCTTCAAGGATAACAAATCCTTAAGGACCTATGAAGAGGGAACTTGGATGGACAATGTACTGCAACATCGTCGATGAATCCGCCGACCACTTGGGGTTCATCGGCGTGTGAGATGTTCCCCCTCCCCAAACCCCTCCCCCGGGAGCCCGGTCCGGTCCATTTGGAGGGGGGGGGGGGGGTCCGGCCGGACGGGCCGGAACCCCCCGGAACCCCCCGGAGGTCTCATCCGCTCCCGAGAAACGTGGAAAAACACGTGAAATTCGTGTAGGGACGCGTCTGGTGGCCTCGAAATGGGTTTGGGACGCCCCACGAGCGCTCCAAGACGTCCAAGTTTACCCGAAGACGGGCCACGAGGCGTCCTCGACGGCAGAAGAGGTCCCCACGAGCTCCCCCGAGGGCCTCCGAGATGCGTTCCACAAGGGTCCCTAGACGCCAAAATTGGGCCATTCCCTTCGTGAAATGCACATTTTAAAAATTCAGCTTTGGATCTTTCCGATGCTCCCCGACGGCCCAAGAGGCTCCCAAACCCGCTCCCAGACGGCCCCAGAAGCCTCGCAGAGGGCCCCCCACAGACCCGTAGAGGGCCCAAGATGGGCCAACAGGCGTCCAAGACGGCCCAAGAGGGCTCCGAAAACGGCCCCAAAAGCGTTCCAGGAGCGCGCCGAGTTGCTTCCCCGAAGCTCCACATGGTCCCAGACGGTCCAAGAGCGATCATAAACATCGACGACGACCTCCCGACGGCTCACGAGGCCTCCCCAGACGCCCCCACAGGCATCCAAGATTCCCCCCAAGAGGCCCTCTAGACGCAAAAAATCGTTTGTTTCCTTCGTAAAACGTATATTTCTTCACACGTGCGCTTTTGGGGGTGACGAAAAACGTGGAAACACACGTGAAATTAGTGTAGGGACGCGTCTGGTGGCTTCGAAATGGATTTGGGACGCCCCACGAGCGCTCCAAGACGTCCAAGTTTGCCCGAAGACGGGCCACGAGGCGTCCTCGACGGCAGAAGAGGTCCCCACGAGCTCCCCCGAGGGCCTCCGAGATGCGTTCCACAAGGGTCCCTAGACGCCAAAATTGGGCCATTCCCTTCGTGAAATGCACATTTTAAAAAATTCAGCTTTGGATCTTTCCGATGCTCCCCGACGGCCCAAGAGGCTCCCAAACCCGCTCCCAGACGGCCCCAGAAGCCTCGCAGAGGGTCCCCCACAGACCCCTAGAGGGCCCAAAATGGGCCAACAGGCGTCCAAGACGGCCCAAGAGGGCTCCGAAAACGGCCCCGAGAGCGTTCCAGGAGCGTTCCGAGTTGCCTCCCCGAAGCTCCACATGGTCCCAGACGGCCCAAGAGCGATCATAAACATCGACGACGACCTCCCGACGGCTCACGAGGCCTCCCCAGACGCCCCCACAAGCATCCAAGATTCCCCCCAAGAGGCCCTACGCAAAAAATCGTTTGTTTCCTTCGTAAAACGTATATTGTTTCACACGTGCGCCTTTGAGGGTGACCCCCGCTCCTGCACGGCCCCAGAGCCCCCCAAACCCGCTCCCAGACGGTCCAAGACGCCTCCAAGAGGGTCCGTACATAGCCCTCGAGGGCCCCAAGACGCGCCAACACACGTCCAAGACGGCCCAGAAGGGCTCCGAAAACGGCTCCGAGAGCGCTCCAGGAGCGGTCCGAGTGGCCTCGAAGAGAGCTCCACATGGTCCTCGACCGTCCAAGGGCGATCAAAAACGCTGACGACGGCCTCCAAACGGCTGAAGAGGCCCCCAAGACGCCCCAAGAGGCATCCACGATGCGCCCACAGAGGGCCTCTAGACGCAAAAAATCCTTCGTTTCCTTCGTCAAACGTATATTGTTTCACACGTGCGCCTTTTGGGGTGTCCCCCGCTCCTGGACGGCCCCAGAGCCACCCAAACCCGCTCCCAGACGGCCCAAGACGCCCCCAAGAGGGTTCCCACAGAGCCCTCGAGGGCCCCAAGACGCGCAAACACACGTCCAAGACGGCCCAAAAGGGCTCCGAAAACGGCTCCGAGAGCGCTCCAGGAGCGGTCCGAGCGGCCTCGACGAGAGCTCCACATGGTCCTCGACGGTCCAAGAGCGATCCAAAACGCTGACGACGGCCTCCCGACGGCTGCAGAGGCCCCCCAAGACGCCCCACGAGGCTTTCACTATGCGCCCCTGGAGGGCCTCTCGCTGTATAAAATCGCCCGTTCTCTTTGTAAAACGTGTATTTTTCGTACGTGCGCCTTCTGGGGCGCTCCGGGGCGGCCCGAGAGCCTCCCAAGACCGCACCAAGACGGTCCAAGAAGCCTCCACGAGGGCCCCGCGACAGGAGAAGGAGGGGGGGGGGAGGAGGAGCAGGAGGAGGAGAAGGAGGAGGAGGAAGAGGACAAGGAGGGGGAGGAAGAGGAGGAGAAGGCCGGGAAGGGAAGGGGGATAAGGAGGAGGAGAAGGCGGGGGAGGAGGAGGAGGAGGAGGAGGAGGAGGAGGAGGAGGAGGAGGAGGAGGAGGAGGAGGAGGAGGAGAGGGACGAAGGGCGGGAGGAGGAACAGCAGGAGAAGGACAAGAAGGAGGAGGAGAAGAAGGCGGGGAAGGGAAGGGAAGAAGGACGTGGACGAGGAGGAGGAGGAGGAAGGGCAGGAGAAGGAAGAGGAGGAGAGGCAGAAAGAGGAGCAGGAGGGAGGAGCAGGGGGAGGAGGAGAGGAGGAGAGGGAGCCGATCATCGTCATCAGTGTCGTGATCATCAACGACGTCATTGCCATCGACAAGGTCAGCCCAAACATCTCCGAACATTAACAGTTAGCGGGACATCCCGCTTGGAAACCGCCGACAACCGTAAGATGTCTCCGGGGTGTAACATACTTCCCTGGCTCCGGCACCCGTGCAAGGCCCCAAACACAACCCAAATTATCCCGGCAAAGCAACCTAACAGCGATGTGTAGAAGCATATCTGAAAGCATTCCCCTTAAGATTCAGATGAAAATCCAGTTGTCGAATTCTGCTGTTCTCGCAGTCGTAGTCGCATTCGCGATGACAGTCGCAGCGGCAACGGCAGTCGCAGTCACAGCCTCAGCCTCAGCCTGCCTCCTCCTCCTCCTCCTCCTTTTCTCCTGCTCCTCCTCCTCCTCCTCCTCCTCTTCCTCCTGCTCGTCCTCGTTCTCGTCCTCCTCGTCTTGCTCGTCCTCCTCCTCCTGGTGCTCTCTCCTCCTCCTCCTCCTCCTCCTCCTCCTCCTCCTCCTCCTCCTGGTGGTCCTCGTTCTCCTCCTCCTGGTGCTCTCCCCCCCCCTCCTCCTCCTCGTCCTCCTCCTCCTCCTCCTCGTCCTCCTCCTCCTCTTCCTCCTCCTCCTCCTCCTCCTCCTCCTCCTCCTCCTCCTCCTCCTGGTAGTCCTCCCCCTCCCCTCCTCCTCCTCCTCCTCCTCTCCTGGTCGTCCTCGTTCTCGTCCTCCTCGTCTTGCTCGTCCTCCTCCTCCTGGTGTTCTCTCCTCCTCCTCCTCCTCCTCCTCCTCCTCCTCCTCCTCCTCCTCCTCCTCCTCCTCCTCCT